TCTCAGGTTGGTGGATCTGTGTAGGACCTGCTTCAAGCAGCGTTCTCTTTTAATCATCTCTTTCAGCCCTGAATCATTATACATTACAGAAATGCCGTGACATTTAATACAAAAAAGCATTTCTGTTTTCAAATGCATGCTGTGGTAGTTCTATTGATTTTAATGCAATTGCTTAAGGTATATGTCTGAGTGGTATTTGAGTCAATAGTGATGTAATATTTTCCTTTTCTTTGAAAACACCTGCTGAATGCAATGAAACTTTGATTTTCAAGTTTGAATTTGGTATTTGAAAAATATTCAAGAGTGAAGGGACAGCTCTGTTCAAAAGTGAGAGGACAGATTAGTAGTGATAATGCTGTTTCTTGATACATTGATTGCAGTAAATTCTAAGGATACTTCATACTTGGCAACCAGGGCTTCTGGAACAAGAAAAAAAAAAAAAGGGAAAATCAAATTTGATTTAAAGAGTCATTCTGAAATTGTGTTGCTACTGGATGAGAGTCTTCCTTCACCAAACATGCTGACATGACATATAATCAGTTTTTAAGAAAGCTGCAGTGCAGCTAGTGGAGTGAAAGCCAGGCAGAATTGTGCATTGGACAAGAAAAGCAGTAGATATGGGCATAAAGGTGTAGCTGTGAACTGGTAGCTATGAAATAATCATATCAACTGTTTTACACGCTCTTCAGCCATTGTCTTGTGGCTGCATTCCGGACATAAACCATGGTGATTGCACCTCGCTGACTAATATAGATGAGCTAACCAGTTTAACACTCCTGTCATTCAACAGCCCTGTTGAATAGGATATGAAGTCATCGGCTAATTACCATAAAACTCAATCACACACTTTCTTGGTAAAGCATATTTACTGCTGGAAATTATTAAGTTTTTTCCTGATGGTCAGAGCCCAGGTTCCAACATGATTTTTGCTGAGGTACATTAAACTTGAGAGACTTCTACAGAATCTTATGAAGCTTTTAGCAGATGTGGAAATGCCCTCCTTAGATTAGTTTAAGTTGCCACATATGTTTTACAGTTGAGGATTTTTATGATCATGGATGTATATTTGTGGAGCTACCATCCATCAGTATGTTTTGTAGTACTAAACAATTTTGGAAACAGAAGAAAACCCTGGATCTTCCTCATGCTTTTCTGTTCTCACAAGGATGGGTGATACTTTCAGAAGATGCCTTTTGGAAGTTTTCTGGCCAGAATAAACCATCCTGCGAAATTGCTCCAACTGTTTCATCAGTTTAGTGTGGGCTAAGACCATAGAAAATAATAAGCTTCCAAATTTACCAGATTTAGGTATGTCTAATGAAGTCAAATGCACAGTCTCCTGAATTCTGTTGTGTAGTGCCCTGTTTGCAAATTGTGCATTGGACACAATTATATGTGAAGGAGTGAATTAAAATTTTAGGACACCTGGCAGACAATATGTTTCTCTGCTTACCATCTGCAGTGAAGTCTTGGTTCAGGCCTTATACTTAGGCCTGATATATTGGCCAGATCACATGTTTGATGCATGTTACTTAAGAAAAGGAAGAACTGAGCATCCTTTTTCAGGAACTTAAAAATAACAGTGTAGATCTTATTGTTCATGTAAAATAGCTAGAATTCATGTTTTGTCCTTCTTCAGGGAAAGAAACACAGTGTGCCACCAATGATCAACCTCATGAATATTCCCTTTCAATGTCTAGGTCTATGTTTAAACAAACTAAATTAGTTTTCTGTGAAGTAACACAAGTGCTTCTGAATTGTGAGATGAATCCAGACTGTTGAAAATCAGGAGAGGTGTCCAGGTACCCCTACTGAGATTGTGCATTAAGAAGCAAGAATGTTTTTGAGTGATGGCTTGAAATTTCTGTTATATATGTGTGATAGTTACTGCTTTAGGAAACCCACTCTCAGCTGAGGTATCTTTGAAAAATCCTACAAATGCAGTGGAGACAGAAGCTGCCAGATTCAAGATGTCTAAAATAAGGATGCAAATTGCAGTTAAAATAGACTGGCCAGTTTCATCTGACTGATGCCATTCTACCACAGAGATTAAGTAAACCTGGTAAACTTTGTTTCAGGGTGGTGAGATCAGTCTTTAAACAATCTACACTAATTGATGTGGAATTTCTGTTTATCTATAGATGTATAACACTTTTTAAGGTAAAAAAAAATATCAGCAAATATACCTCTGCAGGTCTAATTGCATCACAAGCAACTTGTGTCTTATTATCTGAAGCCTAAAGCAAATTTTGAAAAGAAAAATTATTAGGTCAATCTGACATCTGCTGTGTGGGAAAATGTTCCTTAGGAAACTGACTGTAGACCTATCTGGGATCTCAAACAGAATTAATCCTAAGCATTTTTTTTGCTGTCATCAACAACATTAGTGAATCAGCAGCAGTATTTAACTACACAGAAAAAAAAGAACAGTGTAAGACCAGGGAGAAAGTCGATATTGTTTTTGTAGAAGAGTTTCTGTGATAAAACTAACTGGGCATTAGAATAATTGTAAATGCCTCAATATGTCATGTCTGAAATGGTGAAAACTTTCTTTGCATTAAAATTTTCTTTGTGACTGCTCTGTCTTAGCATCTTGCAATTGTCAAAAACTTATTTGCCTTTGTTTTGTTTTGTTTTTTAAAATGCATGCATAGAAATCTAAGTATGAAATGGGATTTTATTTTTAACACCTCTTCACACACACCCTAACAGAAAGAACCTCAAGCCAAACTAAACCTAGCCTCATTTATCCTGTGCCAAACAAAAAACTTCAGTGGATTTTTGTTTTCTATCAGTTCTTTTCTTATTTTCTGCTTCTTACTATCTTTTATGACTGGGTTTAGTATGGAAGCTTTCCCAGATGGATGCTGTCTTTAGTTACTATAATGATTATTATGTGTTTCTGTAGCGAACTATGCAGTCATTAATTAGAATTGTATAGGTAGTTAAGCTGAAATTGCAGAAATGGTGTGAAAGTGATAGAATTGTGGTGTTAGTCATTCATATTCCATATGTTACAATACATTGGTTTTGTTCTAGTAGAGGGAGATCACAAGTATGATTTACACATTTTTCAATATATATATCATGACTTGGGTAAGAGGATGTAGGGTTTAAGTTAATTTGGAAGATAGGATTGTTAAATTTTTTTTAGGGCACAGTTAAGCAGGGTGAGTGAGAGCTAAAACAGAGGTGGAAAAGCTAATTCTGATAAACGCTGACTACTTTATATCAGGGGGGAAGTAATTTTACACATACAGTGGGGGGGGGAGGGGGAGGGGGATGAGGTCATCTTAGTTATAATTTTGAGAGAGATATCAGTATTACAGAATATAAATGTTTGAAAATATTAGTCCAGGGTTCAGTAATTATCAAGAAACATGTAAAATGTCAGGAATTATTATTTTCCAATAGAGAGAAACTCCCTAAATCATCCCTGTGTCATTCCGTAAGTCCTAGCTGTATTTTTCTGAGCTGCAGTATTGCCTATAATTCTGGACGTCCCACCCCAGAAAGACGCAGTGGGACAGCAGGAGTGGTGAGAGTTAGCAAGTCAGACCAGAACTCTCAAACCAGGAAAGGTCTAGATGGAGCAGAGAAGGACTTTCTTCAGAGATCTGTAGAATCACAGGCTCCATGAGTAAGGTGAATAGAGGGAATCAGATGAAATACATAGTGTGCAGATTCAAAATAAAATAATTTCTCTGGTATTGTGTATTTGAACTGTGGAGTTCATAGCATTTTGAGATTCCTAAAGACTGGTGACTCAGGTTTAATAACCAGCCAAACAAAATCTAACACCCCTTCTACCCTTGACTGGGATTAAGAGGAGACTAATATTCACTCATGGTTGTGAAATATATTATTTTCCTTATCATCACTCAATTTTGAGGGGAGATCTGTATTGCTATAGAAAATTCTTTCAGAAGAGAATTATTTCAATCAGAAATTGTGTATTAAGTGTGTTTGCTAGAAAATCTGAAAGTTCTACCTTTATTGTCTAAAAATTCATTTTAAATGGCAAGATATGAAGAGCCTTTGACAAATTTAATCATATGGTATTTTCTGTGAGATTAAATCTATTTCCTGACTTAATTTTAATTTCTGAAGTATAGTAATTTTACTGCTAGGAGCAAATAAAAGGTTACAAATAGTTATCTTCATGTTTTCAGAAACAACAAACCAACTGGAGGTTTGTAAAGGTGTGTTTAAGATACTTTTGCTGTGGTTAAACTGAAAGTTGGAAACTCCTCCTGTAGCAGATGTGTTCTTGCTGTATAGCTGCACTCCCTGCATTTCAGAAATACTACTTAATGTTTTAGCTCTGATATGTTACCTGTGTTTATTTATATGTATTAAGCTTACTAAAAATGCATGAAAATCTGCTTTCATTTGAAAGATCAAAACATTAGTTTGTGTGCATATATATATAATCTTGTAATCTATTTTCTTTTAACATGTTATGCCAGATCTCATCAGCGATATTCTTCCTTTCTTATGGCTACAAGACTTTTTTTCCACATACAAAGAAGTCAACAGGACTAGCATCTTTGATATAAGAACAGAGGGTCTAAGTCTGCTCACTAGCTTCCTTGTAGGATATTGGTGACATATATTTGGTAGCAAAGGCTTTTAATTTGCAAACTATGCAGTACTAACAATACCCTTACTGAACTGGAATATAAATTTAGTGTTCAGCTGGCCTGTGCCAGCTCCTCTCGGGAATTGAAATGTATGAAATTTTGTATTCTTATTAAGTCAGGATAGAATTCCTAATTACTTTATCCTAGTTTAGTTGGTTTTTAACTTTGGAAGTTTTTAAAAGATTGTAAATGCAAACCAGTCTCAGGATATTTCAATCACTTGATCAAACCATATTAGGAAAGTTTTGTACAAATGTGCAGAAATTGTTTGAATTTGTTATCTGTTCTTCATTCAGTTTGTTATCAGTTCTTCATTCATTCCTAGAGTGCCTAATTCTTTGGTTTATTTCCTTTTAGATGAAACGGCTCCTAAAGAAGTCAGCAGGGTAAGTGCTGCTCTGTATCCCCTCTAAAGTCTCCCACTGTTCACTTGAGATGATTTTTCCATAGACTCTGATCAAGATATATCTCTATTCCCTGGTTATAGTGGATCTCCAGAGGAAAAAATGCTGTACAGACTGTCTAGAGAACAGTTAATAAGGAAAATAAATATTAAGAACACTTGATTGGCTGCAAATAAATTGAAGGGTATTTTGCATTTTGAGTTCTCTCAGTGCTATTTTCATGATCAGTTTTAAAAAGGTACTTCATGGAAACCAGGAAATTCATGGGACTTTGAGCATAACATCAGACTATTTAATCAGTGTAACTGCCTCAGTAGATGGCAAACATAGGAAGGGAAGAAAAATATTTAATAACTCCCTTTTGAGATGTGGTATGATACGAGTTAAATTTTCTAATTCAAAATATTTTGCAGTGGTCTGCACGAAATGCAATGTAAAATCCTAAGAAACCTTTTCAGTAATAAATTCCCTACCCATGCCCTATATCTGATTGACACTGTGTCCTGCAGAATATCTGTCCATGAGGACTAATTACAGGGATCTGTTAGGAATGAGTGCCTTTGCTGTGAATTACAAAAGATCAGTACAGGACAATCTTTTGCCCCCAGATTGGGCAAAATGATGGGCCCAGAATCCTGAGGGACCTCATAAGATGGGGGAGTCCTTACAACTTTCCAAGGTGGAATCATAGTCCTGTTTTGCTCTCCTTCTTGAATGTCTTGCATAAACTATTTCATGTTCCCAGGAGAAGCACAATAGTGTCAGACATACATTAAAAATAGGGCAGGTTGAAAGACTGCAAAAACTGTCTGGATACTCTTGAACTCAGTAGAAGTCCTTTGGAAAATGCTGCAATGTGGAAGGAGTGGAGAACTAAGGCTGGTAGTAGAAACCTCAACTTTTGTAACTCTGTGAGCAGAGGGCTGGGATGAGGGGTTCACCTCACATGTGCCTACAAGAAAGAGATTAAATGTTGTATAAAAATGAGTTAATTCAAGCAGATGTTTCCCATATAGATGACGTGCCATGGACTTGTAAGGGTGTTGAGAATGTAGGTGAAAATTAATGTGTTTTAGTAATTCATCAGTTTTCAACATGGTTTTTATTCATCCCTCAGTTTGCTATTGTTATGACAGTGAATACCTTGTGTTGTAACCTGGAATTTTTGTTATTAGTATATCTATATATATATTGTTTTGATCACAAAATAACTAAAGATCTGCCTAAAAATCTCAGAAGCTCTAATTATGTATGTGGGAAAGTTCCTTTTAAGTGTCATTAATTTATTAGATTAACATTTACCTAAATCTCTGTAAAACAGAACTACAGAATATATCTTGATTACCACATCTGAGCTATTTAAGGCAAAGAAAATAAGTTCTGAACCCCCAAGTCTGCCTTGCCAGTCACTCCCTGTGTCACACGGACTGGTGTTAGCCATCTCAGCCCCACAAAGTCGTATCTTGTGGCTTAGGATTTCCTAAAGATAGATGGGCTGTCACTTGAAGCCCTGGAATCAGTGGGGTGCAGATGATACTTCAGATGTTCTTAAGTAAACATTTTCTCCCTTGTTTTTTTAGCCATCAATCATTGTGCAGTTGATATGTATAATGTGCTGCACTACTATTTGGCTTAGCTTTTTTTTAAAGTACTTGAAGGTGTTCAGGAATACACTATGCTACAAAATAACAGGTTGGTTTGTTTGCTGTATTTTTTAATAATGCCGTATATAATAATGGAGACCATTGTAATACATCCTCTTTCTTCAGCAGCAGTTCAAACAGATGCCAGCGTAATTAAAATGTGAACATAAATTAGAATTTAAATTAGGAAAGTTCTGTATGTGAGTAATGTTTTTGAGACAAATAGACATGTTCATGGTGACTGAAGAATTATGAGTTTTGAAGTCATTAAGTGCTACATTTTTAATTCCTGAAAACATCTGCAAGAAGCAGTTTGTATCATAGGGAAGGAAAAATTAAGGTTATTGAAAGGAAATTTATTGCAGAATTAAATCACCAATTGCTTTAACAATACCATGTTAGCTAGAAAATGAGGTAGGAATATACTGAAAAAAATCTTTAATTGTTGGAAGGAAATTTCAGTATTTTCACGGGTTTAATGTTGTAGTTTCACACTTTGAAAATTTGAGAAATTTTGAAATGTAAGTTTTGAAAAATTTCAAATTTATTATTTTTAATTCTAGTCTACTAATGAAAATTTTCTCAATATTTTGGTGTTCAGAAATTATTTGGAAAGATTTCCTTGTTTGGCCTGATATAGCATCTGAATAGTGGTGGAGGGGAAAGATTTCTTGATTCCTGTAGACAGCTTTTGGCATAAGAGCAGCTCTGGTTACAAACTACCTCATGAGCATCTGTGACCAATGAACCTGTGAACTTTTTTCTGAATACTAGTTTCCAGTGTTTATGAAATATATGTAACTGAGGACAGAATCTTCTTTTTGCATGATGTAGTATTGGGAATATCCTTGGAAATGCTGACTTTCTTCTGCTCACTTATTGTGCAGATGTGTGTTGGCTGATCCCATTCATCCTAGCTACACAAGTGGTTTTCTGGGCAGAGGGATTTCAAAAAGAAAACCAATTATTGAGCTACTTGGATGAAGAAAACTTAAGCTGGATACTTTGCTGTTTTCCTGCTTAATCTACAAAAGAAACAAAAATAGAGGAGTGTGAGTTTGAGCACTAAGTGCGCAAGTATTCATGCACATCTAGACTAAAGATGTAGTTCTCTGACAACATTAGTGAAAACAGTGTGCTTTGGAGACATGTTATTCTTTTCTGTTGGCAAAAATAACCCCATTCCTTCATGAACTATAGCCAGGATTCTGTTCTACGTGCTGCTAAGTTTCCTGTGATCACTGTGTGCTTTACCTCAGGTTCTGAGGTTTAAGTGAAAATACTCAATGTTCCTGATATGATCATGGCAAAATTAGCTGTTCATTTTGCTTAATAACCTTCCATTCCATGTTTACTTGAACAATACTTCCAGTGAAGCTGCCTTTTGGCAAGTCTCTTTTGCTTTGTAAACTCTGGCAATGCCAACAGCAATTCACTTTACAGACGTTTACCATATAAACACCAGAAAATTATTACCTAGCAAGTGACTCGTTCATTTAGAGTACTTTATTCTTGGAAACAGGAATGATAGTTTAATCCTTTCCTTTCCCCTTTTTGGACTTGCAGCTTTTTGACAGCTGCCTTGGCACCAGCCAGCGCCCAGCACAGTATGTCACTGCCAGTCACAGAATTAGCAAGTGTGTTTTCAGTAAATAGTTGCAGTAATTGCATGTATCTTCACTGTGTGACTGATAATAAAGGTTTGGGTTCTTCATGACCCATTGGCAAAGCAGGCCCATTCCTTGTAGTATCTTCTTATTAAAGATAGGATTAAAATATTTTCACATCATCCCAGAACTGAGAACAGAATAATAAAAATGTTAGGGGAACTAGAAAAAATATAAAAATATATATTTAGCCTTTAGAAGTGTTGCAAATGGCATTGCACCTATTGTCACGAGAAGATGCTTGTATAAGCTGATGTCTTTAAAAAGAAAGTCTTGTGAATACTGTGGTAGATAAGCAACAGTGGTAGGAAAATGAAGAAGTTTATTTTTAATGTTGTACATGGTGTCTTTAGAGTGCTTGCAAGTCAAGTATTAGGAGGGAATGTCATTTTATAAAAAGCTTTTTAAAAAGAGGAGCAGTATTCAGCCTTGTCAAGTTAAACTCAAGCTCATTATGCTGTTTTATTATATAATCTGGAGAGGTGATATAATTGAGATATTAATGAAGTTTTATGAGCCTTACAGTTAATAACAGATTATATGGTTACTTCTATGTAATCAAAATGTTCTTTTCTCATAAGCGAAGCCTTTGCTTTTTATGATGTATTTTTTTCTATTGTGAAGCAATTTATTTCAGTGTTGCCATTTGGTAACAGGGAAGGAGCTGCTGGGAAGGTTAGAATGGATGTTAGGGAGTGGGGCCTATGGGGCAAGAAGCTTCTTCTAGGAAAGGTGCTCACCATCTCTTGGAGGCTTGGAAATCAGCTAGATAAAAAGGCTGGGAAATGTGTGCCTTCAAAACTAGTGAGTTCTTTCTGTGCAGAGTAAGAAAGCTGCTTTGCATCATAATAGAGCCTGTGCTGCCAAATGTCATCTTCATCTTGTATTTTCCCTTCTTTGCTTTTTTCATGAAGGTGTTTGATGAGTGAAGAGAAAATTCGTAAATACTTTCCTATGGTGCTGCAATGCTAAACTTTATTTACCATGCAAGTTCTAACCTATGTCCTCTCCAGCCAAAACAAGAAGAATAGACGTCAGACAAATGCGTGTAGGAGCAGTTTTCTCTGAGGCTATGTACAACCATTAAAATTAATCACCTCAGCTAAGACTGCTCTTTATAGTTGCTTGCTTTCCAGTGTCCAAGTTTAAAGAAAGCTGGTTATGCCAGCCAAGCCCAGTTACCTCTTCTGATTTTTTTTGAGTTTCCTCTCCAAAATCATTGCTCCTCTGAAAGCCATCTCTGCACTGTAAGTTTGCTCACCACTTTCTTCAGTCCAAGGATTTGACATCCTTTGGCTCAGCATTTCCACTTTGAAACAAGCAGTTTGATTAGCCTTCTGTAAGGTTGGGGGAGTTTGTGGGTTTTAATTATTTTTTAAAATGAAGTCTGGATCCATATTTTTGTTTCTTCACATGTGCAGTTTACATGTGTTTTCAGTGTTATTAGAATGTAGTTATCTCGTGGTTATCTGTGTCCCAAAATAACAAGCACCAGTTTCCGTGCAAGATGGGAACTAGCCATCCGTGCAGGTAAACAATGCAAAATATTGCAGCCAGTGAAAAATAAGGTCTAGAAAAGGGAGCAGTACACATAAACATACACCGCAAACATGTACACAACCTATCTCGCTACACATAGAAATGACCTGAATAAATTTTAGTATTGATTTAA